AGGCGGACGTCTGCCACCCTGAGCTCATTAAAGCCAGCTAAATATAGCCCGTCTGCAGCTGCACTCAGCAAGCTGCCCACACAGGCCAGGAAAAGACACCGGTATCCAGGCAGAGGAGTGGGGAGGCCAGCCACGGGCAAGGGGCCATGCACATCACGGCTGTGCAGGATCCTTCCCAGAGACCACCGGCAGTGGGGCAGTGGGCCTGCAGGAACCAGGAGCTGTTGCTCCCCAAGCCGGCCCCAACCCCATCACCCCGCCCCCCGTGAGGCAGGTTGTAAGGTCAATCCACATCCTCCCAAGGGGGAGGGCTGAGGCCAAGCTGGCCACATCCTCTGTCTGAGCCAAGGACCGAGCTCAGTCCAGGATCGGGGCCGGAGTTGCCCAGAGATAGATCGGGGCTCAGCTGGTGCAGGATGAAGAGAAAAGATCAACCTGGGAGCAGACTCAGGGCGCAATCTGGGCCACTGTCAGGGCTCTGCCCACAGATCATCCCACTGCAATGAGCAGACATGGCTGAGGGCAGACCCTCCCGATACCTGCAACGCCCCCAGCCCCATCAACAGTGTGCAAGCCACCTGGTAGCCAGCACGAGTTCAGGTTCCCTGGGTCAAGGCTCTGTATCAGTCATGGGGCCTGGGGCCAACACCGAGGACCCTGCCAGGCTTGTCCACCTGCTGCACAGTCTACTCCCCTTCCTGTGTGGGCATGGGGACAGGAAGCTGCTCTTGTTTCCATTTCCCATCCTGTGCACATCCTGGATTCCAAGGGTTGGAGGGTGGGCAGGAAAGCAGCTTCGTCAGGGGTTACAGGGAGCCCAGGGCACCTGCTCAAGTGCCTGAATCACGAGATAGAGAGAGAGAGAAACCTCAGAACTAGGACTGAGCCCTTCAGGTGGGGCTGAGAGAGGGGCAGGGCTTGAGCACCTCCAAAGGAAAGACACACTTGGGGGCAGCTTGGTGTTCTCCCTGTGACACGGTTTCATGGCTCCACAAGGGACCAACAGTGTGGCCTGGGCAGTGCTAGGTACCCTGCAGCACTGCTGCGACTTGCAGGGGTGCCCTTGCCATGTTTCAGGGGAGAGGGGCCCCGCTCCGACCATGGGAAGGAACCAGATGGAGGCTGAGAGCAAGGAGCCTCTGTCTCGACTCTCAGCCTCTCCTAAGGGGATGGACAATTCAGCAGCAAGGGTTGGGTCCTGGGGTGGCCTCGATCCAGCACCTGCTGCTGTCTGGGTGACAAGTGGATCAGTGAGAGCTGAGGCCAACAGCCTCTAGGACCAAGTCTTTCCCATTGTGCGCTGTGGAAGAGGGTCACCGGAGGGGGCACCAGGCTTTGCAGTCAGCCCATGAGAAGCCTGGGATTCCAAGTCCTCTCACGGTCAGCATGCACAGCAAAATGAAGAGGAGAGGGGGCAGGGCAGTTGAGGACATGGGGGTGGCGAGGAGTAGGTGGGGAAACAACAAGTGGGATGGCAATATTGGAGCTGGATGGTGGGAGGGCGAGCAAAGGTCATACTCGGCTCCTGTGCAGTCCTGGATGCCCAACAGGAAGACTGGAGGCGGGGAGGCCAGTGTGTAGGAGGACGCAGCTATCCTGGGCAGGGAAGGGACAGGACAGGGATCTTTAGGGCCTGGCCTGATAGCTACATTGCTGGAAGGAGGCAGAGGGTTGCTGTTGGAAGTGGTAGACTGGGCCCAGGATCGGGGCAGACAGGGAGAGTCTAGAAGGATCCCGGGAGGGCCCTGTCCACGTGGATGGAAGGAGGGCATTTGGGGAGGATGGCGCCAAATACCCAGGCTCCACCCAGCACGGCGCCAGGTGGGCAGGAAGGTATACTAACAGTGAGGCGACACTGAGAGACTGGGCAAAGCAAGCTATCAGATGAAGGGGGCAGCAAGAGAAAACCAGAGCCCACTAGAAGATCAGTGCCTCCAGGTGCAAATGGATACAAAGCTGGGCCCCAGGCAGGAGACTGCCCAGCAGGTCCCCACCTCTCAGCCCAAGGTCCTCCCTCTCCTCTCCACTGGCTAACCCCCTCTTCCCACAGCACTTCCCTAGGCTGTCTCCAGCTTGTCCCAATTCCAGGCCCGCAACGAGGTGGCCAAGCTCAGTCCTGTCACAGTATGGACTGCAGGATGCACGGCCCAGGGCCTTACTGCCCCGCACACACCACACTGGAATGGCCCTGTGCCCTGTGAGCAGCTCTGCTGTTTCAGGGAGAGGACTGTGTGACATGACACACAAGGTGTACCAAGAACCCCCATGGCACCACAGTGTCCAGGCTGCCCAAGAGGACGAGACTTCGCCCTCATACTGGCACCATTGGGTGCCAGCTGCCAGGGTCCCTCTGCTGCCAGTTGCAGCTACACACTGGGTGTGCACCTGGCAATTCATGTGGTGCATGTTGCGTCCATGATCCCCACCACAGCCATACAAGTGGACAGCGCAGTACACTGAGGCTCAGAGTTGTTAACCCAGACACCAACCACAGGGGCAGAGCGTCCACCCCAGGCCAACAGCATCATCTCGGCATTTCCGGACCTCTCCTCCAGGGCGCCTCCCACTGGCACAGGAAACGCCAGGGCCGACTAAGCCCAGGGATGCACATTCCAAGCAGAAAGGCGCATTATCAACGGGAGGCATTGCAGTTACGGGTTTCAAAATCAGGTCACTGGAGTTTGTGTTGCCAGTTTTGAATTAAAAATAAACAAATGCATTGGCATCAATTATCACCATCGTTTCATAAAAGGGAGAATATTTTAATGCCAAAAAAGCAGGCCTCTTAATGGAATGCATTCAGGGAAAAGGGAAAAGGGCCTCTTAGGGTGCTGTCCTCACACCTCAAAACTGGGGGGTTTAGACTGAGCAATCACTGGCTCAGACAACCTCCAAGGTTCCCCTGACAGCTCCAAGTTTTTGTTATTCTGCACTGGAGGAAAAAATGTGTATGTGTGTGTGTGTGTGTTTGTACCTTTGAGGAGCAGAATTTGATGACAACAGCTTTGGCCATACAATTCATGATGTGGGGGAAGGAGATTTGACTTCTACACAAACCATGATTTTTCCAGCCTGGTGGGGAAGACCCTCAACACCTCCTTGCTTCTACTGAGACCACGGGAAAAGGCGCCGCAGCCACACCAAGAGGCCAGATCTGTGTCCCCTGTGGTCTGCTCTCTCTAGAACTTTCCTTTCTTCTTGGGTCCGGTGCGATAGCGTAATGGTTAAGGTCCTCGCCTTCAATGTGCCAGGATCCCAGATGGGCGCCAGTTCTAATCCTGGCATCTCTGCTTCCCCATCCAACTCCCTGCTTGTGGCCTGGGAAGGCAGTCAAGGACAGCCCAAAGCCTTGGGACCCTGCACCTGCGTGGGAGACCCGGAAAGAAGTTCCTGGCTCCTGGTTTGGGATCGGCACAGCACCAGCTGTCGCAGCCACTTGGGGAGTGAATTATAGGATGGAAGATCTTCCTCTCTGTATATCTGACTTTCCAATAAAATAAATAAATCTTAAAAAAAAAAAAAAAGAAAAGAACTTCTTCCTGCAGCCCTAGGACCTGAGGCTGCCTTCTGAGGCTCATCGTGCATTTTACATTATGACATTTTAACATTCTGGAACCTTCCTTGGACAGGGAGAGACTGGGATGATGAACAACTTACTGGTGCAAACCACTCGCTCTGCTCCCATCACCTCCTTACCTGGCTTAGCTGATGTCCCCCTGCACATGGCCCACACAGAGCCCCACCTGGAATGGACAGAGGTCTCTCTGCCACTGTTCAAGCTCAACCACACTGCCTGACTTCTCCCCTACCAGCTCCAAGGGAGGCTGTGTCCTCACGCTCTGGCTTCTGTCCCCTCACTAGCTCTGCTGACCGTCCCAGTGGCCCTGTGTGGCATACTGGGCACAGCCCCTCCTCTTCGATAGCATTAGTCTCGGCATCATCACTCACCTGCACACATTAAAACTCCACGGGTACCTTCTAGCCCAGCTTGCCCCCATGCAAAACCCAGTAAACAGCTGCTCCTCTCCTGTAGCCCTGCCCTTCCTCTCACCTGAGCCTTGCGGGGTGTCCCTGAAGGACACGCTCCCAGCCCCTAAATGCTCTGTCTAAACTGCCTGAATGTCACCGCTACTGCAGGATGTCAGGGGGCCAGTGCACCTGCCCAGGGTTGGACCCCGGCAGTGGGAAGACCGCTGATGCAGGTTGCTGCTGATCTGGGCTCAGCATTAGACAGAGCTACAAGAGCTGCCAGCAATGGCTTCAAGCTGGAACCAGGGCAGCCGGGAACACCTGACCGGAACCCCAGGGAGCCGTAACCACAGATCAGAAAGGCAGGAGGAAGGGGAGCCCTGAGTGTACCCTCACCCAAGGACACACATACACATACACACACACACACACAGAGTTCCATGGGAGACTCAGAAATCAGCCCCACGGCAGCAGGCTTTACAGGGATGGCTCACTCACATGTGGGTAGATGGAGGGTAGTGATAAGGACTGGAAGTGGACGCAGCCTGGAGCAGTGACCACTGGCTCAGGCATCATCGCACCATCTGGGCTTCCTGGAAGGTGTGTGGCCCAGAGGTAACGGTGACCCAGACCGACCAGGACTTGCTCCCCGCCTGTCCATCCCTATCCTCCTTTTCTGTCCACAAACGAGGCACACTCCCCAGGTGTTTCACAGTCCCATCTGCTCTGCTGGGCCACCTGCTGGGGCCTGTGACCTCACACCCCTTGCCTGTACTTTGTGACACCTGAGCTGCCCAGTGTGGGGTGACTCAGGGGCCTGTAGGGGTAGGGAGGGCTTGGCTCCTGGGGTAGAGAGTGGCCCAACCCAGGCTGAGTGGACCTAAGACCTTCGGGTCCTACTTGCAGGCAGATGGCGGTGATGCTACCCTCATCGGAGCTCTGAGTGCTTGAGAGGGACCCCGGCCTGGGGAGTGCGGCCCAGCAGCGAAGAGATCAGACCCTGGGAGGTGTGTGGGGGGGTGGTTACTTACGCTGTTTCTCTTGCAAGACGCTGGATGTACACGGCGCAGTTCCCTCTCCTGCAGGAAGAAAAGAGACATCAGCAGGCCACACCCCCAGCCATGCACCAGACGCTGATGCCTGCCCAGGGTTCTGCCCCTCCTCTCCAGCTGCCCCCAACCCACGATCCTCGCTTTGCAAGACACAGCAGGGCCCCGTGTGATCAGTCACTGGGTGCAGACTGACCTGACTCCTCTGTTTCTCACCGGCCTTTCCAGCCCACTTCTCTTCCTACTTCAGAAAAGCAGCTGCCACTGCGGCAGGCACCTTCTCCGAGCACTCACTGTCTCCCCAGGCCAGGCCTGACACCATGGCCACAAGGCTGCGGCACCACCGCCATCTCTAGTCTGAACCGCATGAAGTCCTGGCTCACAGTGTCTGCCGCCTCCTAGATGCTTCCAGGGATCTCAGTGAGGCTGCACATCCTGAGCAAGTCCGAGTCTCCCCCCAAACTCTGCAACTTCTCCCCAGGGAGAGAAAGGGCTGGAAGGCATGGACCCCTCCAGCCCTGGGACAGTCCCTCGGGCGTGTCCCCTGTGACCGCCAAGGGAGCTCAGTCCAGGACACTCCTCCCTTTCCCCTGCTAGCCTCCAGCGTCTGCTGAACTACACCTTTCCCGGCCACACGCCTGTATTCTTGCAGCCCCACCCAAGGGCTGTCACCCAGAAGCACTTGTGTCCCCACCTGTTTGAGCCCAGGGTCCCCAAGTGCTCTCACAGTGATGTGGGAGTCTAGAGGCTGGAAATGCACACCAAGCTCCCTCTGACCTGCTGTGTGACCTGAGGCATAATACTCTCCCTCTCTGATCCTTCATTAAAAAATTTTTTTTATTTTCATCAGAAAGGCAAATTTACAGAGAGAAGAAAATACAGAGAGAAAGAGCTTCCATCTGCTAGTTCACTCCCCAAGTGGCTGTAATGGCCAGATTGAAGCCAGATTGAAGTCTGAGCCAATCTGAAGCCAGGAGCTTCTTCTGGGTCTCCCATGTGGATGCAGGGTCCCAAGGATCTGGGCCATCCTCCACTCCTTTTTCAGGCCACAAGCAGGGAGCTGGGTGAGAAGTGGAGCAACTGGGACATGAACCAGTACCCATATGGGATCCAGGAGTTTGCACTGAGCCATAGCGCCGGGCCCTCTGGTCCTTACTCAAACATGACAGTGCCAGACTAGAGTTCCTGAGGGACCCTCCAGTTACTGCATTGTTCCTAAACACCCAGTTCGAATGCCAGGTCTTCCTGCATCTGGGTACCTTGTGACATCGGCGCCACATGCCTGCATCTGGTGCTGGGACCAGCCTCAGCAGGTCGCCGTCAACAGTGAATGATGACTGTGTGGAAAGTCGGCTGAACACAAACAGGCACACAATAAGCATTCAGTGAGTGAGGACTTCTTAGTGTTGCTTTATTTGCTTATTTACCCTTTAACAATTGGCCCGAGACCTTGTCCCTGGTTTTCACCATGATGCCAGGCGCAACCAACAGGTCTGGACCAATGGTAGGACTGTGTGCTAGCTTGCAGGTTTCAGAATTGGTGACACAGTAGAGGCCTGGGTGTCCTGGGGGAGTGGCCTTACCAGTGTGCAGTGGCTGCAGGCTGTCTCTCAAAGCAAGAGCACCCAGGGTGCAGGTGGGAACAGGGAATGGGCGAGCATCTGATGTACAGCTAAGAGGCACAGACTGGCATGGCAAGAGGCCACTGGTTGTGGCCCCTGGAACTCCCTGGCACCCAGCGGAAGCAGCTTCTGCCACAGCATGGATGAAGATACACATTCAAGAAACACCTTCTGCCAGCAAAGCGCGCTGCAGGGAGCCATGGGGTGTGGAAGGAGTAGCAGGGTGTGGGTGTTAAGAGCTGAGAACACCTGTGCACAGTGTAAGGCGTGGCTAACAGCGGGAGAGGCACAGATGGTAATGAGAGGAAGGGGGAAGACTCACTTTACCCAAAGGACCCCGAACAGGAAATGTGACCCCTATTACAAACGTAAAGACTGAGACCCGGACAAGTGGGGGACCTACAAGCTCTCCCCACCCCAAGTCTCCTGACTTATTCGCTACACACCAAACCAGCCCATGACTAACAGTGCCCAGGTCAGAAGGGAAATGCAGGGGTCCTTGTTCAAGCAGCAAGAAAAGAGGCCGATGTTGCAGCATGTTAAGTGAACATTTGCAGTGCCAGCCTCACATATCTGAGCCCCAGTTAAAGAACCGGCTGCTCCACTTCTGACCAATCCCTACCAATGTGCCTGGGCAGCAGGACATGGCCCAAGTGCTTGGGCCTCTGTTACCCATGTGGGAGACTCGGATGGAGTTCCTGGCTCTGGGCTTCGACCTAGTCCAGCCCCAGATGTCATCAGCATCTAGGAAGTGAACCAAGGATGGGAGAGCTCTCTCTCTGCCTTTCAAATAAACAAATTAAATATATATATATAACACATTTTTATATATTATATATATATTTATTTATATATTTTTATGTATAGGCTTGAACATAAAATTATTGCCCATTAAGAATCATAAACCCCAAAGCCAGGAACCCATGAAGCACTGATCACAAGCCCCGACTACAGTGCAAGTGCCTCCTGCCTTTTTCGGGCACCACCTCTGTGCCAGGCTCCGAGCGCAGGAAGGGATGAGCCAAAGGCCGGGCCAGGTCTGAGTCATCCCTCCGTGTTCTATCGCCATGCCTGGAGTAGCTGCTCACCCGCACTGGGGAGGAGACACGGATCCCATTTGGTCCTGTCATTGCCAGAGTGTAAACAGGACTGTTAGCCTTGGCAGGATTTCTGTAGGCGAGGATGCCTAGGAGGAATGTGGGCAAGGAGGTGCGTGCTGGGCTGCTGGTGGGAGGGGAGAGAGCGAGAGCACAGGAAGAAGGGGCAGGGCGTGGGGGCGGAGCCAGGTGTTCCACAAGAGAACGGAGAACAGACGTTAGCATTAGTGGAGGAGGTCAAAGCCAGGCTCAGGGACTCCTCCAACCTGCCAGGAAGCGGGGGACTTGGATGTGAAGGCCACACCTGGGCGCAGGTGCTCTGTGCTTTAGCCTAGCATTCTCCCACCTGGTCCCTCTGACAGACACCCCATGTCTAGAGAGGGGTCCCAGGCGCAGGGTGGGAAGGCGCTGCTGAGCCCACCAATCCTGGGCAAGAACAGGCCTGCTGTGTGAGGAGGTATCTGTGTTGCCTGGGACCGCAGAAAGCTGCTCTGCCAGCCCAGTTCCATCTTTCTTCAAAGCAGCTGCCAGTGGGGCGAGGAGTCGGCCCTGAACCCCGGCTTCCTGATTAGCAGGCTCCCAGGATGGAGGCAATTAACCAGATGTGCAGCTGGCTCAGCTGCCACCTAAATGAGACCCCACTTGGCCCGCAGCTTGGCAGGGCCCCTGGGTCCTCCCGACAGTCTTGCGGCAGCTAGAGCTTGCTTCAAGCGCAGAGGCTGCCAGGAGCACCTGTGAACAGTCTGGCCTGTACCAAGAGAGTTGGCTGTCAGCAGGGGCAATTCCTGGTAGCCACACCCCGGGATGGAGGCCCGTTCCACACGGCCCTGGGAGCCTGAGCTGCCGCATCTCCTCCAAGAAAGTCCTGGCAAAAATGCTAGTGATTTCCTAAGTGGTCTGTGCATCGCCTCCTCCCAATTCCCTCCTGACAAACTGCAAGCCCAAGCAAGCAAAATACAGGGCTAGGGATGAGACATCACCTTTGACAGATGCCTGGGATACTGATGGGAGGAGGTGACATGGGGAGGGAGGGGATGATGACATGGGGGAAGGAGGGACCCCAGATGGATAGTTGGACAAGGCCTTAGAGAAAAGAAAGCATTGGGAACCCTCCAGGGGCAGTCTCGGGGACAGCAAGAGCCGGGTCTGGCCTGGGGGCTGTCCACTTCCATGGGCAGCTCGTGAAGCAAGGCTGAGAAGAAGAGAGCTGCCCACAGTCCCGTGCAGAGGTACGGGTACCAAATGCAGCACCCTTTTGCGCATCAGGTCAGGATCCAAGGTCATTGCCTCTGCCAGGGCCCCTGAAAAAGCACGGCCCAACTTTGGCCCCACTGCTCATTCCCTGGCCCCTTTCACTGTCCTCCACACGGGCTTCCTGAATGATCTTAGTAAACAGTGGTCCTTTGTTCCCCGCCTGAAATCCAACCATGGCTCCCCAAGGCCGCATTCAGCCTGGCATTCAAGGCCATGTTCAGCCTGGCATTCAAAGCCTTCGACTGCAACTTTCCCACCCCTACCCATTCTTGGACACCTTCTCATCCTTTTCCATCTCCAGCCCAGTGTCACCCCCACCTCCCATGTTAACCTCAGGACAGGTGAGATGCACGTGGCACCTGAATCTCCCTGTCTTCTTGTCCCTGCCCCCATGTCTTTATGTATCACTCCCTGCTTGGCCTGTCCTCTTTAACCCCTCATGTCTCAGCTCCTGAGCCACATCCCCTGCTGCGCCTCTGCACAAGGGTCCCCCACTCATCAGGGCCATCAGCTCACCATCACCACCCAACCCCCACTCTGAGTTGCCCATGTGTCTGTCTCCTGCAGACATGAAGCAAGTATCAGCCGCGGGCACAGAAAGGGAACAGACTCATTTGTCCAGAGGCGCAGCTGTGAACTGGACAGGGTGTGGTGGGCATGGAGCCACTTAGCTGCACTGGGCATGAGGGAAAGAGCCTCAGGTAAAAGCGGGGCTTTCTTGGAGAACTGTACAAATTCAGGGGGCTGTGCAGCAATTCAGCAGGGAGCAGGACAATAGCAGGGAGCCCCAGGGAGGCTCGGCAAGTGCCATTGCCCCCTGCCCCGCCATAGCCATTTCGCTGAAATACAGAGGAATGGATGAGCAGGAGCCGTGGCCCAGAAGCCATGACCTTCAGAAACTACCTTGGATAGTGACAGGGTTGAGCAGCGGTCTGAGGACACTGTCACTTCAGAAGTCTCATGGTGGGCTACATAGCCAGCATTTTGTTTTTGGAGATTTGTTTGTTCATTTGAAGGGCAAAGTGACAGCAAGCGGGAGAAAGAGAGAGGAGGATAG